CATGGTTTTCACCCTCAAGACGCTTTGCCTTTGGGTTTTATGAACAAACCAATGGCTATGCTGTTGGAATCTCCATCATCGGCATGTCTAAGAAGACAGCGGTGTGGACAGCAAACAGAAACAGTCCTGCTGTCCCAAGCAGCGGTGTCTTGCTCTTAACTACTGATGGAAGGCTCATTGTACAAGTAGGACAAGGCCAAGAAATCACTGTCATAAATCCCTCTCAATCCATTGCTTCAGCTTCCATGCTGGACACTGGTAATTTTGTGCTCTATAATTCTGATCACAATGTCATATGGCAAAGTTTTGACAACCCGACAAACACTATTTTACCTGGTCAGCATCTCTCTGCTGGACAAGAGCTGTTCTCCAGTGCCTCGGAAGAAGATGACTCGTTTGGGATTTTCCGTCTCAAAATGCAAAGGGATGGGTACCTCGTTCAGTACCCTGTCCAGACACCAGACACTGCCCCATATGCTTACTTCGAAAGACACATCAATGGAGTAGGGAATAATGTTACACTGAATCTTGGCGATGATAGCTTCCTCTACTTAAACAATTCCGATGGCGGTCTCAAAAGTCTAACCAAGGGAGGCCATCCTAGAGAAAGGACCATCTATTTGATGAAAATTGATGTTGACGGTATTCTTCGAGTTTATTCACATTCTCTGAGCCAACAGAACAGCTCTGCAATATGGTCATCAACATATGATAGATGTGATCCAAAAGGCCTTTGTGGGCTTAACGGTTATTGTATCAATATAGATGATCAAGTTAACTGTTTGTGTCTTCCAGGATTTCATTTTGTAAATCCAGGCAATTGGAGCGCAGGCTGTGAAAGAAATTTCACTGCAGAAACCTGTCGGTTAAAGGAGAAGACTTCTAAATACTATGACATGATAACAGTTAAGAACACAAGATGGTTAGATATCTCTTATGCTACTTTGGTCACAACAACAAAAGAAGATTGTGTACAAGCCTGTTTACAGGATTGTAGTTGTGAGGCGGCTCTATTCAAAGATACAGAGTGTAGAAAGCAGGGGCTGCCACTGAGATATGGAAGAAGAGACATGACTGATTCTAATCTAGCATTGATCAAGGTGCGCATTAATGTGTTTGCAGACGAAGGGTTGTTTAACCAGATTGAAGAAACAAAAGGAGAAAAGCTAAGGATGGACATCCTAATTGCCGGCATTACATTGGCTGCTTTTGCTTTCTTGGTGTTGGGCATCTCCGGATTCCTCATTCACAGGAACCATGTCTGGACTTACAGGAAAATTCAGGAGAGTAGAAGTGTTCAATTATGTGACGATGTTGCTCCACGAGCATTTTCATATGCAGAACTAGAGAAGGCAACCAGTGGTTTCACAGAAGAGTTAGGAAGAGGAGCATTTGGGACGGTATTTAAAGGGATTTTGGCAGAAGACCAGAAAGTGGTAGCTGTTAAGAGACTAGACAAAGAATTGGTAGAAGGGGAAAAAGAGTTCCAAACTGAAATAAAAATCATTGGAAGAACACATCATCGAAATCTAGTCCGCCTCCTTGGTTACTGCCTAGATGGATCAAGAAGGCTTCTGGTGTATGAGTACATGAGCAATGGGTCACTGTCAGACATACTTTTTACACCAGAAAAACAGCCCACGTGGGAGGAAAGGTGTGGCATCGCTCGAGATATTTCAAGGGGCCTCCTATATTTGCATGATGAGTGTCACACACAAATCATCCATTGTGATATAAAGCCTCAGAACATACTCATGGATGATCATTTTTGTGCCAAAATATCTGACTTTGGAATGGCCAAGCTCTTAAAGAAAGATCAAACAAGAACCTACACAGGGGTAAGAGGGACCAGGGGCTATGTCGCACCAGAATGGCACCGAAAACTGCCAGTGACAGTGAAAGCAGATGTTTACAGTTTCGGTATCGTTCTATTGGAATTGATCTGTCGGCGGAAGTGTGTCGATTGGAGCCTTGCTGAAGATGAATCGATTCTTGAGTACTGGGTTTACAGCTGCTTTGAGGCAGGAGAGCTAGGAAAACTGGTCGGGGACGAGGAGGTTGAGAGAAGACAATTCGAGAGAATGGTGAAAATAAGCATCTGGTGCATTCAAGACGAACCATCACTTCGCCCTTCAATGAAGAAAGTTCTACTGATGCTAGAAGGGACAGTAGACATTCCAGTGCCTCCTAGCCCTACTTCTTTTCTAAGTACCATATAGTTCTAAATTTTCCTTTCTCACTTTTTAGTTTTTGAACTTCACCATAAAGTGAAGAGCACTTCATCATTTGTACTTCAGCTAAATACAGAATAATTCTATTAAGTTTTCTTAATTAAAAATAATTATATCTAGTTTTTACATCATTCTGCACCACTTGTAATCACCGATTAATAGAACTACAAGGCTTTATCTTTTGCTGTAATAAATCTCCCTGGCTTTTGTTTCCACTTTAAGAGAGTTTATTAAATAATGTTTCAAATGGGACATTTTTCTCTAAATTTAATTATAGTACACTGAAACTATATTTTGTGCCAAGGGACTGATCTTTCCACTTAACCCCAAACTTCTCTTTAACAAAATCACGATTGCTGCTCCCCTTGCTGGAAGAAATAGAGGACCCACGAAAGGGTCATACAACCTCATATTCTAACTCTTATGCTAGTAAAAAACTAAATATATGATTTTTGAAATCTTGGGGTTGTATCTTCGAAGTGAATTGATGAATAATCAATATTGGGAGTGGGATAAATCTGTAAGAAAATCATGAAAAAATGCTAAACACAAAGAAAGAAAAGCTCAATGAAAACACAAAGAAGATGGAGGAGAAAGAAGAAAAAGAACAGAATAAAGTTGTTAAGGGATTTAAACACTCAATTCCAAGTGAAGAACACCTCTTGTGCCACATCTGCACCAAGTGTTCAATAGACATATTATAAGAGTACTTTAAGTGTCCAATAGGTAATAGTATCAGTTCAGGTGTCTAAATGAAAAAACGCGACAACTTTAAGGGGTTGTCCATGTATTTGGCCTATACTTTTTGTCTACAGTCTGCATCCTTCCAATTATTTCGACAAGCCTTTATTTCTCCGGAGAAAATAGAAGGCATTATTTTCTGAACATATTTGGCATTCATTTCCTTGCCTAGGAAGTATCTTTAAATGAGTGATCTCATATTATTGTGAAAGCAGAAGGGCTTAAGGTAAGACAAAAAGCTTTCTTCATTCATATTTAAATTTTAAGCGCTTTCTCTTTTCCATGCTTTCACTTCCAGTACACTCACCTCAAATTCACCTTGGCACCTACAGGGGAGCAAGTTCATGATCTCCAATGCTCAAGTCCAAATGCATGTCAGCTTGCAATGCAATACAATAAATATCTGTTACTTAGATGTAACATAATATATGAGATCGCACCTCTCAAATTCATATTGCTCCATAGATTCGTGAAGTCCAGCTATCAGAAAGCATTGACCAAACAAAATCGAGACTATCTTACATGATCATGCCAAGAGATGAGCCAGATCAGAAGATGAAACCTAGATCTATTTCCACCCTCGCACCTCTCCCCAGTTAAAAATAACAAGTAATCTTTCACCTGCAATCCGAATGAACCTACTAGTCAGTTATCCATCATTCATCGTAGCTAGTATAGCAGTACACACGAAAAACCAAATATTTCCGATGGAAAGGAAGTTTCTCATTTTGTCACCATATAAACCGGCAAAAATTTAGCAGCCAAGGGTATGACCTAGCAGTCAGTAAAACTGATATAGACCATAAAGGACCAGTGTTCAAATTCCAATAGAAGCAAAAAAGAGTTAGGCACTTTTGTTCATCTCTGCAAGTCTTGATGGACTACTCAGTATTCATGCTAGTGGAAAATAGCATGTACTTGGGGTTGGGGGATTAGTTAAGGTATAGACACCACCATTATTAAAAGAACGGGCAAAACTTGGCACTCAATTAATATTGTCCTACCCTGACAATTTCAATTATTGCCGGGAAAAGGCGCATGAAACAATAACAACAACAGCCACGGTTAAGCATAACAAATAGAATTTAGCTACAGTTTAAATTATACTAGAGAATAAAATGCAGATGCATACTTGAATAACAAACAGCAGCTTAGGTATAATATAAAGTATATGTTCACATAATCTCCTCCTACCATTACCATATGCGCAATGAAATTCAAGAACTTGTTTGATACTTACAGTGGCTAATACGAATCTCCCCTGTGCTTTGTCAAAAGCAATTTGAATGCTTTGATCTGTAGCGTCTCATCTCTGATATCACTTGTCAAAAGCATGAATATTTGTAGCGTCATTAGTTCTTCAAAAACATTGGTTACGTTTAGATTAAGATTGGAGAAATGGAGAAGATGAGGTGACCGGCGATGGTGGCTTGTTTAGAGCCAAAATGTTTATCATTCCACTTTTCTCCGTAGTTGCTTTTCTTGCGAGAAATCCTGACTGAGTTTCTCTAGAACTCCCCTCTGCATCTGCCAGATATCTTGCTTAACTCTAAACCGAGAATTACCTCGGGTTTTTCTTGTTAAAATTTTATTATAGATAGATAAGGGAAGGGAAAGAAGAAATGGAAAGGGGAATTATAGGGTGGAGAATGGAACTCTAACCAATAAGATAAAAGTTTAAGTGTCACACATTGAACAACTAAAATTCTTCTCTTTTTGTTGAAAATATATTTTGGTGATAGTCTATTGCTTTCCTTCTAATTTTCGACCGAACATCTCAACAAGATTTCTTTTTAACTACGGTACATTAAGTGCAGAAATTTTCACTATTATATATAGGAATCGGCAAAATTTTACCAAACCACCACTACAACAATGTTTTTTCGCCAAAAGACTTGCTACTTGCCAGTGGATTATAAAAAATATCGGCTTGGTCACATTTTTTTTTCCTGGGGCATCTAGGTTCGTCGTGGGATTTTTAGTGAAGTTCCCCAGAGCTTAGTATAACTGAGTAAGGAGAGCAAGACATATAAAGCCAAGTAGCGCCTAATCTTTATTAGCAGCGAAAACAACAGAACAGAATCTGATATGTCTTTTAACAGAAAAGAGAGGAAAACTAAAGTTCTGGAACAAAACAAAGCAGCAACATTGACACAGCCATCATAAAAGCAGCATTAGCGCACATGAATTCAGAAGTCTCCACCACGGAGCCTGAGCACGAGATGAAGAGTAGACTCTTTCTGGATATTGTAGTCTGCAAGCGTGCGGCCATCCTCAAGCTGCTTACCAGCAAAGATAAGCCTCTGCTGATCTGGTGGAATGCCTTCCTTATCCTGTATCTTTGCCTTCACATTGTCAATGGTATCTGAGCTCTCCACCTCCAAGGTGATTGTCTTCCCAGTCAATGTCTTCACAAAGATCTGCATCCCTCCCCTCAAACGCAAGACCAAATGGAGAGTCGACTCCTTCTGGATGTTATAGTCCGCAAGAGTCCTGCCGTCCTCCAACTGTTTACCAGCAAAGATCAAACGCTGCTGGTCTGGCGGGATACCCTCCTTGTCTTGGATCTTTGCTTTGACATTGTCAATGGTATCAGAACTCTCAACCTCCAAAGTTATTGTCTTCCCAGTCAAAGTCTTGACAAAAATCTGCATGCCACCTCTAAGACGAAGAACAAGGTGCAGGGTTGACTCTTTCTGAATGTTGTAATCTGCCAATGTCCTCCCGTCCTCAAGTTGCTTCCCGGCAAAGATCAGTCTCTGCTGGTCTGGAGGAATACCTTCCTTGTCTTGGATCTTTGCTTTAACATTGTCGATGGTATCTGAACTTTCAACTTCAAGGGTGATTGTCTTGCCGGTAAGCGTCTTGACAAAGATCTGCATGCCACCACGAAGGCGGAGGACAAGGTGAAGGGTGGACTCCTTCTGGATGTTGTAGTCAGCAAGAGTTCTACCATCTTCAAGTTGCTTGCCAGCAAAAATCAACCTTTGTTGATCAGGAGGAATACCCTCCTTATCCTGGATCTTTGCCTTGACATTGTCAATGGTGTCTGAGCTCTCGACCTCAAGAGTAATAGTCTTTCCGGTCAGAGTTTTAACAAAGATTTGCATACCACCACGGAGACGCAGGACAAGGTGGAGGGTAGACTCCTTTTGGATGTTGTAGTCAGCAAGAGTTCGGCCATCTTCAAGCTGTTTTCCGGCAAAGATCAGTCTCTGCTGATCAGGAGGAATACCTTCCTTGTCTTGAATCTTAGCTTTGACATTGTCAATGGTGTCAGAACTCTCGACCTCAAGAGTAATAGTCTTTCCGGTAAGTGTCTTAACAAAGATCTGCATCTGAAATATATTGAAAAACACAACTTAATTTCAAATCAAGATCAAGCTAAAAAGAGGATGACAAAACTAGCAGGCACCCAAAGTCCCCAAAAAAGTTCTACAAGGGCAAAAGTTGGGAGCTTATTGGTGATCAAGATCGTAGAAGCAAACCAGCCATATATAAACTCTCATAACATTGAGATGACTCCTAGATATTCTTAGTTTAGGAATAAACGTCATCTAATGAAACAAATTGAAGGAGAAACAGAATGACCTACCCAACTGCAGGTAGGAGAGTGTAACAAAACGAATCCTAATTGATTAGGAACCGTAATAAAGGGAAAGCAGCATTCCAAAGACAGCTAAATGGCGCTACCAAATAGCTAGTGGAAGACGAGAGATAAATCGAAGGAGGAAAATTCAATCACCCTCAATTTCTACAGCCATAAGTAACATAAACTTAAAAAAAGTTAAATCATCAAAGTTTTGGATTCTTATAAACAAAGTTCATTCCATCGAATGATCAATCATTCAAACAATTCAACAAAACACTAAAAGCACAAAACCATAGCTATCAAATAGGGAATAGTTCAAAATCTACATAAGTAGAACAGAATTATTATATATTGCCCATGCGAGGATAAATAAATCCAAAATCCCAGAGATTAGTAAGGCTTCTTATGCAAACAAAAATCTATCTTTAAACTTGTAAAAGATTTTAGGATCTAATTAAGTTTGATTGAAGAAATCCTAGCTAGGTCACAATTAACAATTCCTATAAAAAAACTAACAAATATCCATCAAAACAAGGAAAACCAATGCTATAACATCAAAATAGTTTCAAATACATACTATTGAACAGAAAAGGCATGTCTCGTCAATTAAAGATTGTTCTAAATTTTATTAATCGGGGGCAGATCTGCCGATCAACGTCAAAAAAGGGACAATTTTGTTCAGATATTGACAGAATACACTAATTCGCGTAAATTTAAACGTCTTCAACAGACGATTGAATTAATAGAAAGACAGATTATTTACCTTGAGAGAAGCTACAGATAGAGAGAATGAGAGGGTTAGTTTTCTTAGAGGATTAAAGCAAAGTATGATGAATTGAGATTAGGTCGAAAAGGGGATCTGTATTTATAAGAAGCGTTTGCCGTCATAAAGCACTTGTGGCTAAGCGCTTACGCTATTTCTTCGGAATATCCTAGAAGACACGGTTAAGCAATTAATTAGGCTTCTCCTCTTTTTCTCCTTTTTCCTTTTTTATTTTTTACAAAAACAAACTTTGATGTGAACATAGTTTATTATTTGGGCAAATTCGAAATACAAATCCAAATTCGAATTTTTCAAATTTTTGATTTGGATTTTCAAATTATGGACTAGATTTCGGATTTAATTTTTTAAAAATTTTGAATTTTTTAAAAATTTTGAATTTCAGATTGGATGTTGAATTTGCTAATTCAGATTTTTTTTATATCCGAAAATTCAAATTTTTATTCTTTATATTCAGCGCTTCCCATTAGACAATAGTCCAATTATACATATGCTAATAGTAATAAGTTCAATATCTTACCAATTAAACTTTATATCATATATTCAATATTAGTTACTATTGCTCATTATTATCGGCGTTATCAATGTCTTTGTTATATTTCATAATGATTTTATTACTTGAATACTTTATTTGGATAATTGCAGTGAGAATAATGAACTTATTAGGCAATTTAATATTAATACTTCATTTGGATGTTTATTGTTGTAAGAAGAAGAAACAACTCAACTTATATGTTCAAAATCGAAAATTCAAAATATCCAAACTGATTAATCCGAAACCGCATTTAAAAAATCCAATCCTATCCGAGCTTATTTGGATTGTCACACATCCTTTTTTCCGAGGGGATAAGGAGTTTTTCCAATTAAAGTCACTAAATCGAAATGAGATTATTTATTGATTCAGAGTCGCCACTTGGGATAGTTATTATGGTGTCCCAAGTCACCGGTTTATTTTAAATCCTAAATCGAGGAAATTTACTCTTATTTATGGTCCGCGACCACAGAAAATCGGGTAAGAAATTCTGTTAACCGGGGAGAAGGTGTGAGGCACTCCAGAGTTCCGTGGTTCTAGCACGGTCGCTAACTATTAATAATTATATTACATGTGTGTAAGACCTATTGTGCATTTTTTAACTTTCTAACCACGTTTAATTAATATTAAACCCTTTTAAATTTTATGTAATTTATTTGAACAAGTCGCGATATCGCACACTCGTTTTTGGTACATATTGCAAACCACGCCACCCGCAATTTACAACATATTTATTTTATTATTATTTTGAAGTTATGGCCGAGTCACGTGAAACGCACACTTGAATTAGGATTTACTTATCGTGACACGGGAACCGTACCCATAGCTACGATGATTTATTTAAACGCGCGTAAAGCAAACTATGATAGTTCATAATTATTCTTTTAAGATTGAGATTAACCCGGCGGCCAAGAATTTGTAGGACTAAAACTACAAAATTAACGAGAGGAAAAAAAAAAAAAGGCCGAAGACACTTGAATAAATGCAGTAAATGATACACGTCATTGGTTTAAATAAGGGTGTTTTAGGAATTTTGGGGAGGACTAACCAATCCAAGTTGAATCTCTAAACTCTTGAAGGCAACTGATCTCCTAATACAAATTCAAAGTCATACTGATTAATTCCACTGGCATTATAACAGAAGTAGAAAATATCATAATCGTAATTCACATTGAAATATACCAATACATGTTGATATCCAATTTTTCTCTATATATTTTTTATATGCATAAATACTTTCAAAATGGTACATATAAGCATGCACAAGGTTTTTATAATTTTCTCCATAATTTTAAGGATTTAAATTGATTTATCTCCTTCCCTTTTATTCATAAAATCCTCAATAATTATCCCTCAAATTATTGTTATGATGATTTAGTCATTTAATTCCTATATTATGCCAAAATATGGTTGAAATATTTTTTGTGCATTTTTATAGTTGCATTTTGTATTTTTAAAGTTAAATTTCATATAACTGATATTAGCCTTATTAATGTATAATTATATTTATATGCATAAAATTGATCTCCTATATTTTTAAAATGTTAAATATCTATTTTAAATCATTTTCGTATACAAAATTATTTTTCAGAAATTATTTATTATTTATTATAAATTATATGGGAAAAATTGGCTATTTAAAATATAGCCAGATCTGTCTTTCAAATTTAGCCCAATTTAAACCCAACCCCAACCCAATTTCAGATTAAAAACACCCGACCCAAGCCCTAAACCCGCCTATCCGACCCAANTAATTGAGGAGGAGGAGGAAGAAGGCCTCACTATTCAGACTATAGAGAAGGGAGCCGTTCTCAGGAACTGGACCGCCACACCATCCCGAGCCCGCCGAGTCCCTGGGTAGCTTGGCATAATTTACTTCTATAAGCTGTTCTAGGCATTTAGGATTTCCCGTAATTTTGTTTTAAGCTTTACTTGTTTCAAAATGAATGCTCGACTCATCGAGCCGTACNGGAGCCGTAGAAGCCACCAACAAAAACATCAAGAAGATACTAAGGAAAATGGTAGAGAACTACAAACAATGGCATGAGAAGTTACCTTTTGCTTTGTTAGGGTACCACACCACGGTTGGCATATCAACCAGGGCAACTCCCTACATGTTGGTTTATGGTACCGAAGCTGTCATCCCAGCTGAGGTGGAGATTCTTTCTCTAAGGATAATACAGGAAGCTGAACTCAGCGACGCAGAGTGGATAAAAAGTCGCTATGAACAATTGACCCTTATCGATGGAAAAAGGATAAATGCAATATGTCACGGCCAACTTTATCAGAACAGAATGTCCAGAGCTTTCAACAAAAGGGTCAAACCAAGACAGTTCGCCCCAGGGCAGCTAGTGTTGAAGAAAATCTTCCCACATCAAGATGAAGCCAAAGGGAAATTCTCTCCCAACAGGAAAGGTCCGTACATGGTCCATAAGGTGCTAACAGAAGGAGCACTCATACTTGCAGAAATGGATGGAGAAATCTGGCCAAAACCGATCAATTCTGACACAGTCAAAAGATACTATGCTTAGATTATTTTACATTTCTTCATCTGATGTAATTGAACTACGCTTGACCTGATTCCCGTTTAAGAGGGGATACGTAGGCAGCCTTATGGGTTCGGTCATATCATAGTAAAATTTTCATTTCCCCCAAGATCAGAAATTGGGGCAGAATTTTATGGAGGACCCTCAAAATTTCGGAGCAAGTCCAGCCAACGCCAACATATGTCACACCAGAAATCAGTTAGGAAACTGGGGCAGAATTTTGAGAAGGATTCTCAAAATTCCGAAGGGAGTCCGGCAAGGCCCATTGTCTGCAAACGGTCGAAGATCATCTACCAAAATGGGGCAGAATTTTTGGGATGACCCTCAAAATTCCGATATGAGAAAGTTGCAATGTCTCTGAAATATGTTACAGTTACTAGTTCATCTAAAAAAATGTGATATTTCACTATGTTTTCTAAATAATAACTCTATTTTTATCAATAATTGCATATTTTCGAAAACTCTATTTTCATTACAGTCAGGTATCACCCAGGGGAACTCAAAAGGCTTTCAGAACGGAGCAAAGCCAAGCCAGCCAACAGAAGCACGAACCAATCTCCCCCCCCCCCCCACAAACTTACCTTTTTTCTTTGAACGCAGACACATCTGACGTAACTATAACATCCGTGTAGCAAGATCGCTATCAATCACCGAACACATCTCCAGCTAAGACATATGCTACCCTTACTTGCTTCTTACATTTTGCATGGGACTAATCCCTGTCCCGTACATCTACATGAGGCTAATCCCTGCCTCCATATCTGTATGAGTCTAATCCTTGACTCCATGAGGCTAATCCTTGCCTCCATATTTGCATGAGGCTAATCCCTGCCTCTATATTTGCATGAGGCTAATCTCTGCCTCCCTATTTGCGTGAGTCTAATCCTTGACTCCATGTTTGCATGAGTCTAATCCTTGACTCCATGAGGCTAATCCTTTCCTCCACATCTGCATGAGGCTAATCCCTGCCTCCATATTTGCATGAGTCTGATCCTTGACTCCATGAGGCTAATCCTTGCCTCCATATTTACATGAGGCTAATCCTTGCCTCCACATTTGCATGAGGCTAATCCCTGCCTCCATATTCGCATGAGGCTAATCCCTGCCTCCCCATTTACATGAGTCTAATCCTTAATTCCATCCTGCATGAGGCTAATCCCTGCCTCTATATCTGCAAAAGTCTAATCCTTGACTCCATCCTGCATGAGGCTAATCCTTGCCTCCACATTTGCGTGAGGCTAATCCTTGCCTCCCTATTTGCATGAGTCTAATCCTTGACTCCATCCTGCATGAGGCTAATCATTGCCTCCATATTTGTATGAGGCTAATCCTTTCCTCCCTATTTGCATGAGGCTAATCCCTGCCTCCACAGTTGCATGGGATTAAGCAATGTCCCTTTTCTCATAAATATTGCTCTATTTTAGTACTATATATTTGCTTTTCGATCGGGCTAATCTCTGCCCTCCATTTTACAAGACTAAGCCATGTCTTGTTAACATCATACTATTGCATATCATGGGCTGGAATATCGCCAATCTATCCAAAGGCGACATAGTCTAAAGGCATCATCCTCATAGCCGGAAGACACCATGCCATGGCCTGAGGATCTCTTAAAATTGCATATCATTATTCAAAGGCGTCATGGTTCGGAGGCACCATTTTCATGGCCCGAGAACATCATTTCATGGCCTACGAATCCCTCACAAACAATTCATAGCCCAGGACGTCATGGTCCAAGGACATCACCTTTAATCGTCCAAAGACAACTTTCATAGTCCGAAGAGAATTTGCATCATGTTTAAATTTTTGCAAATACGTGTTTGTAGCATCTTTTATCTGCAGGTAACTGACAAGCAACGTCTATCCCAGCAGGAGAGATCCCGCTCCAGTTCTCCCGACCACATCGAGCCTAACCTCTTCCATAAAATCGTTCATTTGTCCAGCCCTAGATGTGGTGTCCGTCCTCGAAATGACTTCATTGGTATACTTCGCCGATGAATGCAGAACTACACATGGCCTGATTCCTGTAAAACCAAGGATGTGTAGGCA